AGTTTACCTGGGGTAGCAGTCCCAGTTCGTGCTTGTCCCCTTGGTGTCGTTGTGCCCAGTGTCCCCACTTAACTCCCAGAAGTAACTCAGCTTGTGTGTTAAATGGTGTGGTCACCCTGTCTTCCAGGGAGAGCCCGGAGGAACTATCCGTTTGCGTATCTCCAGGATGCCATTTACTCGAAGTAAACATGATTAACATACGCCGACAGGCACTGTCCGCATTGCGGGCTTCGTCCATGCCGTGTCCGTGTCTTCCTGAGGACACGTGCACAAAAATAGGGCGTCTGTTCACGGAAAGGTCTGCACTGCCGTGGGAGGGAAATGGAGGTGCTCCTCCTCTTGGAGTTACGTATTCCCCAGCCAGTCTCGTCATTATTCTATTAGGGGGAATAACACAAAGCCAGGTTGTCCGTTTATTTTCTAAACAAACAGACCCAATTGCTGTGTAAGGTGCAGGGCGGAAACCAGAGAACCCTACATGGTCCATCAGAAATGAAAGAGCCTTGGAAATGTGTTGATGTATTTGGTTGACGCCCCACCTTCAGAGATGGCCAGAGGCCCGGGAGGCCGTGTAGCTTGCACGAGGTCCCATGGCTGTCAGGGGGGCGTGTGCGCCACTCCACAGTCAGGCCTCCACGGCATCAGTCCCGCGTGGTGGCGTTCTTCTTGCTAGACGCGGCGTGTGTGCAAGGCCCAAAGCAGCCCTCCTCCCCACCCCTCCTCCCCTTTGCTCATAGCAAGGAAAACCATCCACAGGACATGCCATGACTTGACTGTAGAGAATGTGTAGAAACCAGTTTGCAATTCATTCTTGACATTTTATAGATTGTCGTCTGGCATAACAGGCATGTGCTGGGTACTTTGGGGGCCGTGTGCACACATTTACATTATTTACAATATTTTATCCATGGGGCTACTAGGATTGTAACAACCCTTTTCTGCATTACAAACCTGGAATCCTTGATGCATCACAAGCCACAGAAAATATCGTGTTGGCGCCTGAGACCAGCCTTTGTTCTCTGGAGAATGGCAGGCACGCTCAGCAGTAAACAGACTTGCCGTACACTCTGCCTTGCCTGTTAGTGCCCTCGGAAGTTCACGGTCCGCCGTCACTGAAGTCCCCTCCCCGAGGCTCCCTCACCGAAATCCGCGATGCCTCTGCCCCCGACTCCAGCAGAAGCGGGGCTGTTTTTCCCTGCGGATGTGGCTAGCGGTGCTGTGTTCCGTGTGTGCCGCTTCTCCCCTGCACTGCGTTGTCTGGAATGGGCTGGGGGAGAGCAGGAAGTGTCTTCAGGGCCCTCTGCTGTCGCTGGACGCCCCCGCTCCACCCCGGCTACTGTTTATGTTCTTTTCCCACTCGATTATTCCCCGTTCCCGCTGACCACCTTTTCACCTTCTGACTGATGCGGTGGTTTTTTAGTTTGATCCGTTGTGTATTTTCCTCCATGTGAACGTCAGCTCCAGGAAGGCTGGCGTTTTTGTCTTCTTTACTGATGCATCCTGGCTGTGTAGAGTAGAGCGTGACACATGGTAAGTGACCAGTAAATATCACTGGGGTAAGAGCAAAGGTGACGTAAGTTCTTCTTTTCAGATGCCACTCACTACTGGAACTCCTGCCAGGCAGCAAAGTTCTCTTTTGTTGAAATCAGATGGTGTTAACTCAGCCTGGTAACTGGCATCCTGCTCCGTGGTTCTTGATTCAGTTTTGCAGAGTCTCTATACGCTCAGGGGAAACTCGGCACAGGCGTGCCGTCTGGTGTGCCGCGAACACCGCAGCTGGCGTCTGCGGCCCACAGGCCTGCTCTGGAAGGAGGACACACGACTGTGTCGATTGTTACAGCGGCGTGCGACTGCGGCGTGCTAGGAGCAGTTACGTTACTTAACTGGGGGGTTCCGGATGATGGGCGTGATGCGGGCGCATGCAGACACGGAGCACCACCACCGAGGCAGGAAATTAAAGGGTGTGTTTCATAGGTGCCAAAGAGAGAGACAGGCGGTGCCCTGCTGGGCCCGTGTGGGAGGAGCACCCGGGGAGCAGGGGCAGAGAGCAAGGACCCGTGGTGGGGTGCACAGCCACAGTTATGAGAGGATTTCACTGGTGTGTGGCCGGAGGGCAAGACAGGGAGCCTGGGCCAGGCTGGTGCCCGGCAGCCCGGGCCTGGTCTCCTGGGCCGCGTGCCTGCAGCCTGTGTGTGGGGTGTGGAAACACCAGGAGAACGCCGAGCTGCAAGCATTTGCAGTGCACTGGGTGGTGGTAAAGGTAAGAGCACAGGCTCTGGACCCGCATGGACAGGGCCCTCTGGCCCTCCGGGATCGCTGTCCTACAGACACAAATCTAGACTTGGACAACCTAAGTGGACGCATGGGGTGGTGTCTGTGTCCTTCTTCTGTTGCTGGGGTGATCCCGTGCCCCCCCTACAGCCCGAGCCAGAGCACTGCGGCACGTCCCAGGCTGCCTGCTCCCCCGCCCACCCGCAGTGCCTCCATGGGTCCCCTAATGTTTTTAATCAGTCTCGCTAACTACTTCCTGTAGGGAAATGAATAGTGATGAGAGGCAATCTTGCCGCTCCTCTGTTCTGAGAAATTCCCTGACCGCTTTGCAGACCCTGCGTATTCATCATGATATCCCAGTGCAGAAGGTGGGGCTTAAATCTCAGCCTTAAGGGTATGCAGTTGCTCACAGCTCCGAGTGTGGTAATGAGAAACTGAGCATCCCTGAAACAGGGATTCCAGAATCTGCCTAGTGAACCACCTCTTTTAGCATCAGGCCTTGCCTCCAAGGTGATTTTTAGAGTTGTGTGCTTTTTACCGGAGCCTTAGAGCTTTCTCCACGTCATAGTTCATGTGTAATTTCTTTTAATGTCTTTCTCTTCGGGTCAAAGCAAACCCTCTTTATTTCTCAGGTTCTGTATGACTTCTGGGCTCTCACCACCGGTCGGCAGTGGCTGTATCAGTAATAAGTGGCTCCTGGCCCCGGCTGCCTGCATTCCCCCGACAAAAGCTGTCATCTCTCTGGCAAGTCTGAGCCCTGGCTTGCACGTCCCCCCTTTCCTCCGAAGATGAGCAGGTGCGCCCGTCTTCAGGGCAATGCCTGTTCAGAATGATACGTGTCTGCTAGGGTGCGCGGCCTTGGCTGGTGCTGGAGGCAATTCTTAGAGTCCCAGAAAGATCTCCACAGGTAGCATTCAGTCTTCGAGATGGGTGGGGTGCCTGTCTTAGAATGCTCTAGCTTTGACATGCAGCATCTCATCCAAAAAGAAAAAATAATCCCATTCTCCCTACTCTCTGAAAAGATCAGAAATAAAGAACTCATTAAAGCTTTTCAGTTCTGTGCATTTCACTTTTTGTGGTTTATGGAGACCCGTTCTGATTTATATATTCCCATCAGATGGCAGTCTGTTCCTTTCTTAGTCTTTTCATACAACGTTTTCACTTAGCCAGTCATCAAACACAAGCACTGGCGTGTCTGGTGAGTGCGGGGCACTGTGCTGAGGACCAGGGCCGGGGCTGGGCACCGACGAACGCTGCCTTTGCCCCTGGCGTGTCCATCCCTCACTGTCCTCCAGGAGCTGGACAGGTTGTACCGGTGCTTGGACAACGTGTTCTTCTTCCAAAATCACACCACCTTTGTGCACGAGACCTCAGCTAAGCTTCTTCGGTGTCCTATTTTAAAACCTAAAAACTAAATGCTCCTCTTTTTAAACAATTTCTCTTTTATTTCAGATTGAGTGATTGTTGCTTTTCGTTTTGATCATACATGAGACGTCCTTAGGCTATTTCCATGAAGCTCCTTGGTACTTCCTCTTCCTCTTCCTCGTTCTCTGCTGAGACCTGGAGAGGCGGGGCTGCCTGGGGGCAGGGAAGGCGGGGTCGGCGAGGAGGCACAGCCGGGCTGCGGCACTCTCCATGCTGTGGCGCACATAGGCCTGTGCGCAGGAGGAGACTGTCACTAACCCCCTCAGCTTCCCCCTGACCCTCTGTTCCCAGTAATTCTATATATAAATATCCTGGAAGGTATTTCCAGCAACAGGGACACAGTTAATTTAATTATGCTGTAGTCATAGGAACTGCTCTCTTTAAAGTGTTAAGTGAGCAAAGTAACATACTAACCGACATGTAACAACCAAAACATTAATAGTAGTATAAATGCAGTAATACCCCAAACAATAAAGGTAATGGGAGAGTAGCTAACTTTTAAAAACAATCACAATGTTATAAAACATGTTCTAAATGTTTTGCATTTATTAACTCATGTAATAACCTCCTTTAATCCCCTCAAAAACTTTAAATGTCCATTGTTACCCAGTATTTACCTGTGAATATCAAAATGAGGTACTGAGAGTTCAGGCAACTTACTAGGTTCAGCTGAGAGCACAGGTCCTCAAGGTACTTGCGTCCTAGTGGGTGACACACCTGTGAACGGGCTCAGTGTGGTCAGCTGGGTGTTGCGAAGGCTGTGCCCCCAGGGGTGCTCTGGGCGTGCATGGGAGAGGCACCAGCGGTGAGATCAGGATGCTTCCAAGTGGGAGGAACCCAAAACAGAGTGTTTAAGGAAGAGTCCTCACTTTGCTGGGTAAACAGGCAGGTGGGAAAAATGTAAAATGTGTACTTTAAAGAATTGGTCTTGAAACCTGACTCTGCCACTTACCAACTATGTAACCTTGAACAAGTTACCGTAATTTACTGTGTATAACACGCACCCACCTTTTTGTGCACATTATGCACGGGATTATGATGCCCATGGTGTGTAATCATTATACCCATGTGTAGTGTGCATCCTTATTTTTCCCTCAGAAAATTTGGGCAAAAAAGTGCACATTATACGTGACAAGATACGGTAACTTAATTCTTCATGCAAACAACAGAAATGATATCTACCATTTCTTCCTGGCTTATCCCATAAAAGTGTAAAACGAAAAGCCCTATGTAGGTGCTCGATGCAGTTCAGCTGTGCAAAACCTGTCGCTGTGTGACTCCCCCTTGTACTCTGCCTTGCACAGGTGGACGTGATCGTGACTTTGGGAGGACTGGCCGGGCGTTTCGACCAGATCATGGCGTCCGTGAGCACCTTGTTCCAAGCGACTCGCATCACCCCTGTGCCCGTCATGATCATCCAGGAGGAGTCTCTCATCTACCTGCTGCACCCAGTAAGTGAAGAGCAAACACAGTGTCAGCAGTAGTTTGCGCCACAGACTCCCAACCTTTGAGTGGACGAGGAGGGGACACCCGCCCCTGTGGGTCCCCGACCCGCCAGCGGAGTGGCCCGTGTCCGTGTGCTGCTCTAGTCCTTCCGCCGGTCACTGAACCGGAAAAGGTGGAGGAGAAGCCTCAATGTGTTCATTTTGCTGGACCTGTGAAGGAGCTCTGTGACTCTTAATTAAATTGACTAAGAGTTACATGTAGCAGTTTTGCTTTTCGAGCAGCTGAATATGAGAAAAACCTCAACAGAGGAAGTACAAAGCTTAGGAAGTATATTAAGTGGAAATTTACACTTTCCTATATTTTCAGTGTTGTAATTACGATTGGAAACTGGGTTTGATTTTTTAAGCACTATAAAAAACCTTTAACTTTCACTGTTCTTAGGTTGCCTGCTTATTAATTTCACTGCCTGTGAACAAATTTCTAATGACAATGTCATTCATTTCCAATGACAGACATTGTGGAAATTTTCTGTTCATGAAGTGCTTAGAGCAGACTTCTTATTAAATAAAGTTTTATAAGGTTGATTGGTGCATTTCACTTTGAAAAATAATAATTTGGTAACATCTTGTCAAGAGACTGGACAGTTTTTTCTTTTTGCCGGTCATTGCAATGCACTGCCTACGGTCTTGCTTCTGCTCCCTCGCCACTCATGACCTAAAATGAGTTATTTGGTTAATATAGTGCAGGCGATGCATGCTCACCGCTGTTCAGCCACATTTGCATTTTCTTCTGGTTCTCTGCATTGTCTGGCGCTGTTGCTTTCTGGAACACTGCCCCTGAGGTGTGGAAGGGCTTCTGTCCATTTATGTGGCCAACAAACAGTTACGGTGCGTCTGCCCCCTCCCTACCCGCTGCACTGCTGGGCAGTTGAGGATTTAGAAGACATAGTGACGTCGTGTCTCTGCTCCCCAGTGCATGTCCAGTGAGGCAGACATTTGTAAAACTGAAACAGGAGGCGAGGTTCCCACACGGCTACAGGAGATGACGAGAGACTATGTGATTGGGTCACGGGCGTGGTAAGGAAAGGCTTCGCAGAGGCACTCACCTTTTCTCCACTCGGTCTGTTGAACAAATGTCTATTGAGCACCTGCTGTATGCCGGGCACCTCTCCAGGAACACAGCAGCCAGCTGGACAGATAGATAGTGCCACCTGATTTCATGGAACATACGTTCTCCTGAGCTTACACTGTAGCGGAATCCTCAAGGGCGAGTAAATATGTGCTCTGGGAGATGATGGCAAGGTGACTGAAGCCAGAGGGGCCGCCAGAGAGAGAGGGAGGCGCAGGACCCGTGGTAGGGCCCACGGCAGAATGGAGAAGTGCGGGAGACGAGGCTGCAGGGCCGGGCTGCGTGCCAGCTGTGGGGAGCCTTGAGTTCTGCACAGTGAGGTGCGGACTGTTTGCCATAGGTTATGGGAAGTCACTAAAAGACCTCATTTAGCAGCGTGGCTTGCTCAGACATACTTGTCAGATTCCTAGTTATTTGTTAAATGCCTGTCATTTCCCCACCGTTTCTGAAGTTTGAAGCCACTGTGATGCGCTGAGCTTCCTTTGCTGTATCATACTAACCGACGACATGATTGCTAATGAGTCCACTGTGACCCGTCTCTGCAGGCGAGCGCACGGCAGTGTTGGCCACCGATGCACTGCCGTCATTTTTGAAAAGCAACATTGGGAGATGAGGTGATGGAAAAATCGACATCTCAGAAATGGCCTCAGCTCCCAAGATCTCGTCATTGTTTTTGGTGCCCTGTACCTTCACTGGGGTGTGAGTGATTGGGGCTTCCTGCCACGTCCCGCTGGGGCGTCACTGGAGCCCCTCAGCCTACAGACTGCCGTCTGTCACCAACTTGGAAGACTGGGCCATGACGTCTTCCGATGGTGTCTGCGCCCTCTTATTTCTGCCTTCTCCCACAACTCCAATTAGACGAATGGAAGAGCCTCTAGTCGTATCATATATATCTCAAAACTTTGCTTTCATGTTTTCTGTGTCTGAAGGTCCCTGGCTGCACTCTGAAATTCACCGTCACTGTCATTTTCCATTTCTGTGTTTTCTGTTTTGCTGCTAAACCCATCCATTCCGTTTTTAATTCCTTCTATAGCTCTTCTTTCTAAAATGCTCACCCTTTACTCACATTTTCAAGGCTCTTTGTGGAAACATAATTGCCACACTTATTTTATCATTTACAGTAATTCCAACATCTGCAGTCATTATAAGGCAGCTTTTATGTTCACTTCTGCTTTTATATTTTGTAATCTCGGTTCCTTGTGTGTTTTGTGATTATTGGCCATGACCTCGTTTCTGGGAACTCTACCTGTAGGAATTATTTGTTTTTTTTTCTTTTTTAAAGATTTTATTTATTTATTTTAGACAGGGGAAGAGGAGAGAAACATCAATGTGTGGTTGCCTCTGATGTGCCCCCTACTGGGGACCTGGCCTGCACCCCAGGCATGTGCGCTGACTGGGAATCAAACTGGTGACCCTTTGGTTCACAGGCCAGCGCTCAACCCACTGAGCCACAGCAGCCAGGGCTACCTGTAAGAATTATTTGAAGTGTAAGTTAAAAGTGAGTCCAAGTGTAATGTACAGTAGACTTCTCGCCCAGGTATTTATAGGCATTAGTAACTTAAGACATCTTGTTTGAGGCTTTTTGGACCATGTAGGTGGTGTGCTTTCTGAAGGTAATTGCACTGGGGGTCTGAAGTCTGGTTGCAAAGGCTCAGAGGGGAGGCTCCTTCCTGCCTCTCAGCTGTGCAGTGCCGCGGTTCAGTGGGGCGCCTCTCCCCAGGGTCCGGCAGGAGGGCTACTCTTGTTCATCTGCACCCCGAGAGACCCGCTTCCCTTGGTGCCGTCTCCCTCCACGCTGCCCACTCGGGCAGACCTGGGGCTTTGTCTCCTGGTGACTCTTAATACCCAGAGGCCTTCAGAACTATGTTCGAGTTCATGTGATCTGGTGCACAGCTAATATATAAACCATGAAAGTTAAATTTGGTGTTCTCCAGCGATGAAAACTTAAAGGTTTTTTTGCTTGTGAGTATTCTTTTAAACGAAGCGGCTGATTGAAGCGCTTTAAAAGAATCCTTTTAATTTTTTTCTAGTATTTTTTAATTGTGTTCAGTTGGCCACACTGCCTCTGTGAATCAGGTTCTGCCCCGTGTTGCAGTGATAATTAACCTGCAGAATAAAATCGCAGAGGCTTAATTAACCAAGATTAACTTTAAGTTTTTTTCTCATTCCTGGAAAATCTGGTGTGGGTTGGCAGCATCTTCACTTAAGTTAAGCCAACTGGAACACATCACAGCGACAGGGGAAGAGATTGCTAGACATGGCACCGCCTGTGTTTACAGCCCCCACCCCCCCCCCACCTGGGCCGTGTCCTGTGTCACCGTCGGTGGGAGCACAGCTACACCGTCCCAGCGCAGCGGCAGGGCGGTTGGGAGAGGAAGGTGGTGGGCCAGGGGAAGAAGTGCTGTGTGATCACAGAGCACTGTTTCCCCCAGACAGCCCGACACCCAAGTGTGGAGAGGAAGTCCAGGTCATAGCCTACATGATTTCTAGGAATGGGATTTTTGCATTTATAAAACATGTTAAACTTTAGTTAGTTCTTGCAGCAGAACCCCCAGTTCTCTGGTGATTTTGATTTTGTGTCATTGAAACAACTAGGAAGTTACCTTATCCTGAGAAAGTAACTATTACATAGGGTAGGCAGAGACGGCATGCAGGGCCCACCCCTCTGTCCTGTGGCGGAGTGGCCGTGGTCAGCCCGGACCGGCCCGTGGGGCAGCAGGGCCCGCTTGGCTCCTCTTCCCCCCCAATACTAGAGACATCTTCCACGGACACACCCCAGGTCCCTGCTTTTCTGTCACCTTTCCTGAGACGATCACTAATACAAATGCAAGAGTCGAGTGTGTGTCAGGGTGTCAGATAATGAACCAGTCAGAGTCCATCATATTTTAAGCAGCTTTAATCTCCACAGTATTATTTTTATTTATTGGTTAGAGAGAGAGAGAAAGAGAGAGACATCTACTTGTTCCGCTCACATACACATTATTCATTGGTTTGTTCTTGCCTGCGCCCTGGCCCACAATCAAAGCTGCAGCCTTGCTGTGTTGGGGCGTTGCTCTAGCCCACTGAGCTACCCAGCCAGGGCGCGACATTGTTATTTCCAAATAAGATAAATCTTGGGTGCACTTAAGGGTGTATCCCACCTTTTTGCCGTCCATACCCCTAAATTAAACTGAAGTGACTCTGAGTTTCCCTCAACTCTAACAAAATCTGCACACCACAGGTAGCTTTATTATTTAAGTTGATTCAATAAGATTATTGTTGAGTTTTGCTAAAATACTTCAAAAGTGGGAAAACTCCATATCAATGTTCATTATTATGAGTATTATTTTTAAGGACAGCGACTTCTGGAATTGGGTCTATAACTACAGGCCGTCTGAAATTGAAGATGATAGATAGCAGGAGGCATGAGCCTGGCCTGGGAACGAACATTTAGGTGCTGTGTCTGCTATGGGGCTGTGAAGTGGCTGGGGCAGCCCTGGGCCATGGGGCTAAACTGTGCTTCTCTTGATCCTTCTGAAAAAGCCTCCCTGCCTTCAGATCATCGTGGTGTCTACACGTGAGCTCTCGCGAGACTGGGTGTGCGCGGGCGTCATCAGCTGCGTTCACTGGAGTTGCTGTTGCAGCCGCCTGGGATCGGCGTGCGTGTCCGGAGCGGTTCACTTAACACCGTTTAGGCTGTTCCCGCTCGAAGCCTTTCATCTCCCTTCTCTTTTCAGTCCCCTTTCTGAGCCTTATTTTTGCTAATTACAAGTGGGATTTTAAAAGGAGACACTAATACAGTTTGAGGTCTGTATAAATATGGTTCAGTGTTTAGAATGTTTTAGCTGATTGGCTTCTTGGGATGCAATGTCTTCTATATTGTGTTTTGGTTCATTTC